CACACACACACACACACACACACACACAGCCGGGGTCTTATTGTTTTCATACTGTTTTTTTTTTTCTTTAAGTGATTTTTGGTCATTTGTATCACAGAAACGGCTGCACCGATCAACAAGAAGTTTGTCAGGACTGCAGATGAGTCCAATTTTTCTGCCTCAAACTGCCAGGATCTGAGTTTGTGTATTTTTTGTAGTATTTTGTGTTTATTCATTTTTTACTGTTTGTTTTCTGTGTTCTTCAGTTCATTTTATCAGAACTTTTTATAGCTGTTTATGACTTTATTTTGTTATTTTATTTTTCAGTTCCTGTCCTGGTTGGTCTTTTGTTTGTGTTGAGTTTCTGGGTCAGTCTGTGGCTCTTCACGGTTCTTTGTTGGACCCACTCCCCTCTGCCTGTTGCCCCCCACCCCTCAGTACACAGTCAGAACTAAGAGACTGAAACAGAAATTTCACACTTTTCTTACAGCAGCTGCAGCCGGTGAGCGTCAGAGCTGTGGAGCTAGTGTCTGATGTGGTAGTAGCTGAGAGTCATCCAACACCAAGTTCAGGTAATAAAATCTCAAATCTATGAAGATGGTTTTAGTTAGTGCCTGTGACATCATTTTTTATAATAAATATGAATATATTTTTGGAAACGATAACATTTTGTAAAAAAGATTTCATGTCGCTGAGATGAACAGTTGTTGAGATATTTGTGTGTGAAGAAACAGGAAGTGATGTCAGAGGGGAATGTCTGCATGTAAACAGAGCGTTGCTACAAAAACAACACAGAGAAGAATCTGATGTTTCTTTACATTATTTTAATCATTTTCATAGAGAGATGAGAAAAAGTCAGAGTTCAAATAATATAGTTTAAATAAACAAAAAAACTGAGTTTTCTTTCTCAAAGAGTTCCCCTTTGATGTCACTTCCTGTTTCACTTCAGCTGAGGAAAACTCAAAAGAAAATAGGCCAGTTATGTCGGGTCAAATCATGTGTTGTATATATTCTTTGACTTTGTGTATTTCATGGATGAGCATGTCACGGGCACTTTAATGCTGAACTCTGAGCTGTAATCGATGGTTCTCAGAGGTGATTAATCAGCAGGTTCTGTGAGCTCCCAGGGACCACCCGGTGACTTGGTACYGGCAGGAGACTGGTGTGGGACGTAACGTTGTCACTCCCTAAAACACATCTTGAAGATAACACATAAGCCTCCATCCAAACACCCACATATGCTAATACAACAGCAAGTGGCAGAACGGATCCTGGCAGCTGCTCSCTGCTGTAATTAAATGTTCTGTAAAGAAAAAAGAGAAATTAATTTCTTTGTGCTGCAGTCGGAGGCTTCTGCGTGTCGCCGGTTTGGGTTTAAGCCCAGCGAGTTTCAAATCCTATTATTGCCTCGGTCACACGCAGGTCTGCTGCACACTTCTGACAGGGTGACCCATTTAGCAGCGCGCTCCCTGCGCATCACTTCCTGCCTGTCCAACTCACTTCCTGCTTCCTACTGGGAGCAGGAAAACAACTAAAGCCCAACCTGAGTGCAAAACTATTAATGCAAGACAAGTTTGTTGTTGGTCTGTTTGTTGATCAGCAGAGTTTTAAAACAAAACGTTTTTAGTTTTTTTTTTTACTTTGAAACTTTTCAGTCTCAAACTGTTGGATTGTTTTTCACACTCCATCTTTTCACAAAGCGCTCTCACTTCTTACAGAATAAACTTTGTGTCGCAGTTTGTAGTTTTTTACACCCAGCTGTCCTTCTGAACTGGACATTAGACGTTACGCATTAATTTTATGATTTAATGCGTCTCTGCATCAAAGTTTTGAGGTCAAACAGGAAGTCTTACCTTGTGTCTGCACTTCAGCACCACTCCATACGCTCCTGTAAAAAACAGAAACATCAGAACATCAGACGTGACGTCATGATTCATACATGCATCAAAACAAACAGAGAAGAAGAGCTGGAGACCAACAACTGTCCACTACAGAGACACCTGGACATGTCCCAGTCCACTACAGAGACACCTGGACATGTCCCAGTCTACTACAGAGATACCTGGACATGTCCCAGTCCACCACAGAGATACCTGGACATGTCCCATTCCACTACAGAGACAGCTGGACATGTCCCAGTCCACTACAGAGACAGCTGGACATGTCCCAGTCCACCACAGAGACACCTGGACATGTCCCAGTCCACCACAGAGATACCTGGACATGTCCCAGTCCACCACAGAGACACCTGAACATGTCCCAGTCCACCACAGAGACACCTGAACATGTCCCAGTCCACTACAGAGACAGCTGGACATGTCCCAGTCCACTACAGAGATACCTGGACATGTCCCAGTCCACTACAGAGACAGCTGGACATGTCCCAGTCCACTACAGAGATACCTGGACATGTCCCAGTCCATTACAGAGATATCTGGACATGTCCCGGTCCACTACAGAGATACCTGGACATGTCCCAGTCCACTACAGAGATACCTGGACATGTCCCAGTCCACCACAGAGACAC